AAAAAAAAAAAAAAAAGAGAGAAAAGAAAACAAAAGAAAAGGAAAGGAAAGAAAGGAACTTTGGGAAAGAGCAAGTAGAGAAATGCTTGGTATGTTTGGGAAACAGAATTTCATTGTGGCTGAAAACAGAGGAGTTGTATAAACAGTAGCAAGAGAGAGACCAAAAACGTGAAGTGAAGTGCTCAGAGATGGGAGGGTCTAGTGTTTGATGAGAATCATGGAAGAAATGGAATTGACACTGGGCTGTAATGGATGCTTAGGATTTGGACATGATACCTTGCAGGTTAAGTAATAGTGAAATAGAACAGTGGATCTACAAAAATCAATTGCGGGATAGATTCTGGGAGTGTTAAAGTACGAACAGCCCAGGTCTTTTAGTGAAAATGGCAAGTTTTGAGACCTGCCTCCATAGTTGTAGGCCACACTGTTCTACGAGTTTAAGATTCTTCACTGTGGGCCGGGCGCGGTGGCTCAAGCCTGTAATCCCAGCACTTTGGGAGGCCGAGACAGGCGGATCACGAGGTCAGGAGATGGAGACCATCCTGGCGAACACGGTGAAACCCCGTCTCTACTAAAAAATACAAAAAAACTAGCCGGGCGAGGTGGCGGGCGCCTGTAGTCCCAGCTACTTGGGAGGCTGAGGCAGGAGAATGGCATGAACCCGGGAGGCGGAGCTTGCAGTGAGCTGAGATCCGGCCACTGCACTCCAGCCTGGGCGACAGAGCGAGACCCCGTCCAAAAAAAAAAAAAAAAAAAAAAAAGATTCTTCACTGTGGCCAGGCACAATGGCTTACGCCTGTAATCCCAGCACTTTGGGAGGCTAAGATGGGAGGATCACTTGAGCCTGGGAGTTTGAGACCAGCCTGGGCAACATAGCAAGACCTTTGTCTCTACAAAACAAAACGAAACAAACAATTAGCCAGGTGTGGTGGTGCACGCTTATGGTCCCAGCTGCTCAGGAAGCTGAGGCAGGAGGATCACTTGAGTCTGGGAGGTCAAAGCTGCTGTGAGTTGTGATCCCACCATTGCACTCCAGCCTAGGCAACAAAGCAAGACCCCGTGTCATTGTTTTTCTTTTTTTCTTTTTTTTTTTTTTGAGATGGAGTTT